GAACTACATGACGATAGGCAGAATCGTGACAAGCGGAGGCAAGAACGCAACACTGCAGCGACCCAGTTCCGGGAGTGGAGACTAGGTAAGGTATCTTAGGTACCTATGGATGGTCATTGGTATGAAAGGTAGGTAGGACCTAGGTATCTGGAAAAGAGCGGATCGTGAGCCGAGGGTTATTGCTTCCGTTGTTCCACAACGACACTCAACCTCGTTGACGCGCACCCGCCGGCCCCATCTGTCAAACCATCGCGGCTAACCAGGAAGTCTGTAAAGTACCAGATAAGGTACCTTGCCTGGGGTCTGTAAGGTACGGATTCTTGTACCTTGCTCCGTGCACGAGGTACCTTGCCTTGCCGACACACGTCGAACCTGGAGGCTTGGCCCTCAATGCGGACTGTGTGTGTTCCAGCCTTTCTTGTGGACAGTCTGGCCTGGCTGCCATGTCTCATCTCAGGTAGTTTCTACAAAAGTGAGGTGATGATGGAAATTGCCATGGCCCGTGAATGAAGCATGGAAGGTAGTTTTTTCCCAATAACTCTGTACTTTGTAGATTGCACCTTCCTCTTTTCCTGGGAGAGACAAAGAGCCGAGACAAAAGTCTCGGCATCAGGATGGCACACCTGGGGAAAAGTGTATATCGGTATTCCATGTACCTTTCCAACTGGTTTTCTAGCAAAGTGACTTGCAAGTGAGATGAACTTGACCCAAATCTGAGACCCAACCAACCACACTTTTTTCTCAATGTAAAAGGGAAAAAATAAACATCAAAATTGCGGCGTGTTGGGTGCTTCAATATGGACCTGCATTTATCGCATTTTCCATGTCGCTGCTTCCAAGATTCGCAATCTCTTCCTCCTTCAATCATCTTGCATTCAACTCCCGTCCCCGGCGCCTACCTTCCAAAGTCTGAACCTCCTTCTTTCTCGTCATTCGATAGTCTCGGCCCTGTCTGAGTCTCTCTCTCTCTCTTTCTGTCTCCTTCTCCGTCTCCGTCACTGCCTCGTCTGCCTCCTGGGCTCTTCTCGTCGTCTCATCTGCCCATCCGTCATCTGCTCCATGACTGCGCATCAGCATCTCATCTGCAGCCTGCCCTGCATTTCCTCCAATCTCCACCTCATCACCACACATCATCGCCGACTCCGTCACCTTCCAAGCCCTCTTTTTACGTCTGATCGACATCCCCCGTGCCCACAGAGTCGACCGACTTGACCGCTGCCCAGCCATCTGATTCGCGGCACTTCGTCCGTCTCTTCAGGAACCGCCCCAAAGGATCCCCCCCTAGTCACCGATTTCAAATTCTAGAATGGGACCCCAAGACCAGAGTCCTCCCCCCAGCTGAGCGACGAAGAAATAAGGTGAGCACCTCACCACACGCTAGAATAGAGTCCCACTCCTTCTAGAAAGATTGCCCGGGATCCCTGGGTCGCATAATTGATCTTTTAATTGCCAGGTATGCGTGAAACGCGTTTCCTTCATGCGATACCCGTCTGACCCCCTGCTCCAGCTTCATATCACCCCCTCCCATGATCCGTCATGTCTCGATGAGGTCAACTTGGCCGCCAGCACTAGCAATGAGCGAGCGCCAGCCGCATCATGCCCACACGAGGATCTCGAGCCAATTCTCCAACCTACCGCCAAACTAAACTCCGTCGGCCATCCGTCTTCTTGCTGTCCGAGTGCCCTCCTTGGCCACCCTCCCGTCGAGTCTTCGTCCCAGGTTTTTCTCGTCCAAGCGCCCTTCCTACTGGTTCGGCCCTACCCTCCCTGACGAGCTATGGGAGGTACTTGCGACTTTCGCCTTTGCCCAGCGGCGAGAGAGCGAGCCTGTCGAGTGTCGAGCCACTCCCCAGGCGGTGTTTTTTTTTTTCTTGTGACCGACCTACCATCAAGCACCGAAAGTCTGGGATGTGCATTGAGTCGCACAATCTCCTTGCTGCCGAAAGCCGGGGGGGTTTCTTACGCCATGTACCGTCCTCCTGCTTACACCCACCACATTCCCGGCTCACGGTTAGGTGAAAGAGGGGGGGTGGTACGGTCGAGTGGGAGGCCGCGGGAGACTATGTGCGCGTCTTGGGCGCACGCGTCTGGCAATCTGGGGATGCCCTCAAGTTCGTGAGAAGACGAGAGGAACTCGAACTGCTGGCGGCTGCGTGCACGTTTGCGCGCCCGCCCGCCCATGCAAACAGACGAATAATCACCTTGAGCGAACCGCTATCATCCCATGGTTTCGACGACGGCACCATCGTGCGACCTGGCCATTGAGTCGTACACGTCCCAAGTCCCCAAAAAAAAAACAATATCCTCATTGGAAAAAGTTGTTACCCCACAGGCTAACCAGTCTTGTCTGGTCCGGTGCAAGTCAACCCTACGACCATCCCATCTCGTCGACGCGCGCGCCGCCCGCCTGGTACAACAGCCGCCGCATTGCCGAGCCTGAACCTCAACCGTGGCACCGCCGTCATTCTCATCTCGGCCATGTCCCTTCGCAGTCGTATTCCTTTCTGTTTCTGCCTCTGGCATTGGCATCTGCCTGTGGGACCTGCCAGATTTGACAGTATCGACATCGAGGCGAAGGCCGACTGACACGCCTTTTCTGGCGTTTGGGACGCAAATCCCCCTGCTGCGGACGTCTTCATCTTGGGTCAGCCGGGATGATTTGCCTCCTGGGACCACTGCAGTTCCCTTCCGAATCGATCCCGAAGCTTTTGACCAGGTCCTCGAACGTGGAAGCAGGCCCTCACTGCCACCGATGACGGCAAAGGGGATCAGGGCTAAAAAAGAAAGGGTCTTTTTTTTTTTTCTTTCTTTCTTCCTGACGTTGCGAATGGATACAACGAGCTTGGGCTGGTGCCATCCGTCTTTCTCACCCGGCAGTCCCTTGTTCTCACCCCTCGGCAATCTGGCCACTAGGTCGAGTGGTTGTTGCAACCTTACCGTCTCTCTGGCCCTATCGCGTACCGGAGCGGCGATTTCTCTTCATGGTTCTGGTATACCCTCCCTGCATCAGATATACCCCCATCAGGGCCAAGGCATGACTTCTCGGTGCTCATCCAGCCATTTTCTCTCCCAAAACCTGCTGTTTGCCCCCCAACAGACTCCACTGTATTCTCCAGAATGGGCAGAGCTGTCCAAGTTACGCTGTTCGCTGGTGGTTTTCCACCCAAAGCAAGCCCCCCGTCAAGGACGGAGGCCAGGGGAAGGGTGACCCAGGGACTTTGAGCTTCCGAGCCCACGCACACGCGCACACCCACACACAGGCTCACACACATTCGCACTCAAGAGTCAACTGCCTTGAGTTGAGCCAAGAGCTGCCACCCTGGTTCCCCTTCCCTCTCTCTCCCCGGTGAAGCAGGGGGCCGAGCAACATGGGCGGCCTTCTTCTGAACTGCTGCTGCTTAGTTGCTATGCCCTTCCCAACCAGCCAGCGCATGGTAGGGCTCGTTTCAGCTTGTATCCCTCATTCAGCTGAACGTGCTTGGATTTCTTCCATGCGTTTTCCAGACCTCTCTCTTTCTCTTTTTCTCTGGGTCGTCCGGCCTCCCTTTACAGGGTTGGATCGAATCCATCCGGAGGTTTCTTAGATTTGTGAAATGGTACATTGCTTGTCTCCCCCGACGACCCTGTCTGCCCATCATACTATGTAGGCTGGCCCAGTTGCATCATCACCGCCGGCCGGGGGCACTCCTGCTTCTATATCCGGCAGCGAAACCCATGGCATAAGATCCCCAAATTATGCTACCGTCATCATCTACTGGGCAAGGTTAACTTGAGTCTCCGCAACCTACTCAGGAACAACATACGTCTCGCACATGGCGAATCGCGTATGTGCTTGGGATGTCGGTGACAAAAGCAGCGGCAGTTGATGTACCCTCTTTCTCTCGCCTCACCCCTCCCATGCATGCTTTTCTACTCTCCTTCGTCCCCTTCTCTCTACCCCCAGAGCAAGAGTCCACACACAGCCCTCTATTCCTCTTTTCGATAAGGCACATCGGACGATATAATGCAGCCCTTGCCCACGTCCGCGCTTCCTCTCTTTTGACCCCTTCACTACTATATTACTTGTCCAGGGCCAAACGGGATTTATAATAAGTCAAGGGAAGATCCCGTGAGCTTAAACGGCGCGTGACAACAACCAGTTGAAAAAGGGTAGCATGGTTACCTCGACCTTTATTTTGTCTTAATAATTTTTTTCCCACCTCACGCCAGTCAAAGGGAACTATCCGTCCGGCCGTGCAGACAGACAGACAGATAGCTCTCCACCACCGGGAGTCAAGTTTTACGAAACCGCAACACCAGCTTGGTCTTACTTCTCAGCCGTCGTCATCATCATCACCGTCGTCGTCTTTGTCCTTCTCCTCTTTTCTCCTCAACATCACTACCGCTAGAATCGACCTGGTCATCATCACAACCACAAACTCTGGCAAGGGCTTGACCGTTGCCACAAGACACCATTATCCTTCGCTGCCAGCAATACCGCGAAAATTCTCTCTACACCTCCCGGGCACGAATGTTCGTTGAGTCTGGAGGGGGGGTCTCATCACGGCGACACCATAGCGCTGTTACAGGATCGCAGTTTGAAAGACTACCACCACCATCGCGACCCCGCAACGTCGCACCAACAGCCCTCACCTCTCCCGACGCCGCCCGAGAGGGCCTTCGCTCAACCAATTCTTTCACTTTAGAGCCCGGCGACCGTCCAGAGCGGTTCGCTCTGGCGGGACCCATGTGCCGGAAGCACGCTGGCGGGCAACTATCGAGTAGGGGACTACAATGTCGATTATTCTGCACAAGAGTCGCATCCGAGCGACCAGGGCCAACAGCAGCATGGTTATGACACGACGCCCTCACATCATCAACACCATAGGAGCTCTCTCCACCATGGCGCCGCTCACACGCCTACTCTCCATGAGCCGCCCACTAGCCATCATTCCCATCACCCGGGCATGCAGCAACACCAGCAGCACCCTCACCACTCTCACCACTCCCATCAGGTTCTAATGGATCCGGGGCACCACATGGGCCACGCCCGGCACTTGGGCCCGCCTCACTACGGCGCTCCGGGTCCGGTGGTCGCTCCTTTGTATCCATCCATGACAACGCCTACGCAATCCCATACGCCCCATGGAGCACCGAAAAGACCGAGACCAGACGAGCTTGACTTGTCCGTTCCCGGAATCGATCTTGAACAGACGGACCTCGAGACCATGCAGCAGACTCCTCTGGGTACCGCCTATGCACAGGCGACCCAGCAAGTCCAGGCTCCTACGCATCATCACCACCGACTACCCGATACAGGACCCCCTTCCAAGATGATGAGGCGTGATGGTGACGGCGGAGACAGAGGCGGTGCCCCGAGCGTCGTGGGACAAGCAGGCATGCCGACTCCGGCACCGAGGCCAAGGGGGCCGAAGCTAAAGTTTACACCCGAAGACGACCAGCTCCTGATCGATCTGAAAGAGAACAAATCCCTAACATGGAAGCAAATCGCGGATTTCTTCCCGGGGAGATCATCAGGAACACTCCAGGTGCGCTATTGTACGAAGCTCAAAGCTAAGACCACCCAATGGACCGACGAAACGGTATGTGCTCTTCCCTCCCCTAACTACGATGCCATGCAGCACAGCCAGACGGCGTGGCATAGTAAGGCCGCGCGCAGCATTCTGACTTGAATACTCCTCTAGGACCAAAAGCTTCGCACCGCGCTGCAAGACTACGAGAATGAGAAGTGGCGCATCGTTGCTAACAAGGTCGGAACTGGCTTCACCCCTGCTGCCTGCCGAGAACGCACGCAGGAGTTAATGGGCGGCCCTCCCTTATAGCATTCAATGTCTCCACCGGGAACTTCTGAGCCCCCGGCTGGAGACACAATCTACACGCAGCAGCTTCAGTGATGAAGAGGAGCTTGCCTTTAGCGATGATCTCCATCATGCAACTTGGAACGACACGACCCATCCGGAGCATTCAGATCGACCTCCACGAACACCGTCCTCCCACTTCGACTCAGCGAGCTGGTAGGGGAGGAAGATCTGCAACAATTTACCCGACGTCTTTTCATGTAACAGCTTGGGTTCGAAAAGCACAGAGAACGCAAGGCCCGAAGAATTGCGCCAGCTCTTCCTCGAACCACCGAGGCCATAAATACTTCTTCGCCTTGTTCACTTCGGCTTCTACCTCATACCTGCGACTCTCGAGTGGCATTGTCCTTTTGTTTTGCTGGATTCCCCATCCGCCTAATTCTAGAGATACCCCCGAACACCACGGGTCACCTTTTTTTACTTCATCTTTTTCTCGACCTACTCCTTTATCTCGACTCATGACACAACGCACACACTATAGACTTTAGGGGGCAACACAGCGAACCACGCAATCTACGGCCTTTCTGCTTGTTTTATCCTTCTCGACGCTCCCTTAGACGATTTTGGTTTTTTATTCTCGACGATTGTCATCAACTTCTTTTTGGCCCCATCCAAGGATCTACCATTGCCAATTCTCTCGAAATTCGGTGCACTTGACAGCTTTACTGCAGTATTTGGTGGTTTATTACACCAACACGCCTAGAGAATCGACTCTCGAAAACTTGACTATCGAATTCAACGGACGAGAGATTTTGGTGGTGAGCTGGCTCTGATGCCTAGGCGTCTTGTGGGTGGGAGGAGAAAAACACAAAAAGGGGAGAAAGATGCAGATGGAAAGACGCATTTTGCATACATGGCGGATGACACACGCGCAGTTTTCGCATTCATGACGACGTCTGTTTATTTTTGCTTTGTACTTTTGACCATTTTTTTTTTCTGTTTCGTTTTGTTTTCTCCTCAACGCTCATTATTCGTTTCTTGTTCGATTCTACCCCACACATCACGCAAATGTACTTTGTAGTATTTGTAGCTTCTTCAACCCCTTTTTTCGCTTCGTCCCAAACTTACTTCTGCTTACGGCCCCATGAAGAGGATCGCAATATGGTACAAAGTGGAAACAAGAGTGGCAGCCATTTCTCGAGAGTGCTGTTGCTTAAACCCGATTATGTGAAAACAAAACGTGCGCAGGAAGATGGAGAGAAACATGTTTCTTTTGCTTCTGTTTATTAATGTATAGTGGGAAAATCACAACTAATTCGGTTCCGGTATACCCTATTCGAGAAAGTACTTCTCCCGCCCCCCGGACTGGGAAACCTCGGGGATTAACTTCTGTGAATCACATTGGCATCGTAATGCAGCAAGCAGTCTGCAAGAAACCATGCACCAACCGCTTCCGGGGAGGACGGAAAGAAGCAAGGTCAGGCGTAGGTGTGTAGGTGGGCAAATCACAGAAAAAAGCAACATGTCTGTCCTATCATCCTTTCCACCCATCCCCTTCTGGACGGACGGGAGACGCATCAAATGTGCAACTTCTCTCGGGGGCGCGTGTAGTCGACTTTAGGGACCTTTACCTTACCTTAGGTCGTGAGCCGCCCCCTTTCACGAAAGGCCCCCGAGGCCTCGTCCCAAACGAGAGGCTTCCAAGGCACACACACACCTCCTTTTGGCCTTGCCACAGTAGCGCGGCCTATTTTTGCGGCCGTGGTGGGAAGGGGGAAACGGCCGGCCGGAGGTTTTTTTTTTGTCTTTGGGTATTGTTGTTTTACGGTTTGGCGTGCAGTTTGACGTGTGGCGGCAGTTATATTAGCAATACATTCCGATTCCCGCTTTTGGCAGCTGGTTTTTGATTACCTTGCCCGCCGCGGCAGCCCGGCGTCCAATCTTCGAACTGATTTGAGTCAGAGTGCAAAGTCCGGGGAACCAGGAACCAGGCCAGGGGCCCCGGGTGGTTGGGAAAGAGTCAAGAGATCGCGCGCGCGCGGGGACAGGCGGGCGGGCTTGTTTAGCAGCTGCTAAAATCCGGAAACTAGGCGATAGCTGTATCTTCCTAAGCGATGCTTTCCTTGACAAGTCGGCTAACTTGGCTCTTGCTCCCGTTCCAAAAGCCTGTTCCTTTACGTGACGGACGATGGGGGTCGAGTTTATTAACTTCAGACCTCTGCTGTTATTCCTTGTTTCCCTCTGTTGTGCCTGGGCCTTGGGGCCTTGGGGCTGGCGAGTTCGGTTTGGACTTTTGGGCCAATATCGGCTTGGCGAGTAATGGCGGAAACAGGAGCGGGGGGGTTAGGTGGGAGGGAAGGGACGGAAAGGGACTGGCGGCGGGTAGGATTCAGGAAAGAGACCCAAAGGTGCGAAGAGCTCGGAGAGGAGAGAACAGGGTAGAACTTCAGAATGGTCCTGCTTTGGCCTGCTTACCTGCCTGCCTTGGCTCTCTCTGTGTTCCTCTCCGTACTTCTTTCTCCTCTCTGGGCTCTCTCCTGTCCCGACACAGAGTTGGCCACATAGCCAGATGTGGACGGTAACGCAGAGACGGGCTGCAGGTTGGCCCTGTTGTCTGCTGGAAGGACCAGGACCGGCTATCGAGTAGAGGCGAGAAAAAGAAAAGAAGAGGCACCTCCCCGTAGGGTGTTGGCACCCTCTGGTCCTCCGCATGTGCCGGGTTCGGGGTTTGTGATCGAGCAAGATGGTGGCCCTTTTGGCGACTTTGTTGTCCTTCCTCAACCCCCCTTACAATGAGCGTCCTATAGCTGGATCTCCCGCTGGCTTCCAGTCTCCAGTCGTTGATGAACCCCATTGATCACTGCGCATGCTCTCGTTTGGCGCTGCGTCCACCGAGAAAGATTGGTTTGGCAGCGGCTTCTGCCCGTTGAAACACTCGGCCCCAGGGTTTCGTTCGTTATATGACCCGGGGGATTCTGATATATCCCCCCTAGCCCGTCATCTCCCACTCCCAGTCCCCCCCAGCCACCCGCCAGAAGGCAAATCCAGGGAAGAAAGAAGCGGTCAATCGCCCCCGGAATGTGACACGAGCGGAGCGGTTCCCACACATGTTGTCATGCCTGAGCCTCTTCCCACTCTCTTCTCGCTGACAGAGATGTAGTGCCATGTGTGAGAGGTCGTGAATCGCGCGGTGACAAGTGACGTGACGGGTTAGCCTTGGTCGACGAGGTTCCTGCATGTCACCCCCTATGCAGAGTGATACCTGCATCACTGCATCGGGTACGGAGACCTACGCGGCGCTTCGTCCAACGGTCTACGGATACTAGACAGGCCACGGGTGTGAGAAAGAGGCAAGGCCAACCGCACCCTGGGGTTCCAGACGTCGGCTCTCGGCTGCTGCTTGTGGATGGGGTTACTACCACCCAACTATCGCACACCCCTTCGAAAGGTCGTGTCCGCCGCTATATTATTGAGACATTTTATGAACAAATTTAAGCTCAAAGATTTCGTGACTCCCGAGACCACTTTCCGATTGTGGGGGGCCACAAATCGGACACCCTCTCGCACTTTGCGTAGAGAGTAGACGTCAAGCTCCGAAACCGTACGCGACGAGCGATCGAATTCTCCCGCAAAGACAGCTAAGCTTTCAGTGACTGTGACAGTTCACATCGCAAGAGGGTAGATATCGTGTCGCATGGCGCAGATCAAGCAAGCCAAAACAATAGGCGCCACGATGTTGCGGCTCCAAGGCACCCACGAAAGATTGCCATGTGGTCATGCAGGCGACGTTTGAAAGAGGGAGGGGCGAGAAAAAACACAACCCGCTCTCCTGACTATGAAGTTAAACCTTTTCTCCAACCCTACCTCGTTATATGCCCCATCAGCGGCTCGCCATCTCTTCGGACGAATGTCAACGGGTTCGCGAACTTCATGCTGGAAAAAGTCGGTTAGCTCAGCGCATGAGACGTCCCAGGTGAAACTCTTCATGTGCGATTGATAATGGGTTATCGTATGTGAACTGCCGGGCCAGGTGGTGAGGATGATCGGTATCTAAGCCGGGGGATGCTTGGCTCGATTTCCTCCAGCGCGAACCAGGGGACATGGTTTATGTGTGATCACCGGGGCGTCAGCACCGTCATGGCCCGTCTCATGGTCTAGGGCTGATATGGTTGTCTGGAGGGTCAGTCGGCCGACTATGTGCAAACTAGGTGTGGTCGCCGCCTTTAGATTTTAAGTATGAACACATGATATTCGCAGCAGGCCTTGACCTGAGTCTCTCAAATCCGAGATATTGCTGAAAAGGCCAAGGTTGACTTCAAAACTGTGGTCAAGGAATCCTTGCGGTGGCCTTTCTCCCACCCGGCTGCTCCGTGTGCCAGCCCGGAAAGCTTGGATCAAGCGGCTGACTGCAGCCAAGGACCTCAGCGCCGCGCATATGCCGGGTTTTACCGGTTCCATAGCTCTGAGCAAGAGAACGATTTTTGATCCTTTCAAGACTCCATTCTTTGAGTTAAGGAAGAGGAAGCCGAATGTCAATGGCCAAACAAACACTCTTCGAAGATGCGTCATGCGGGTTGACGCTGCGATGTAACCATGCAGCAACGCTTTTTTCGTACCTGCTCGAGTGCCAATCAGGACTTGGTCGGCCCTCCGTTGCCACAGTTGGCATCAAGGGTCCGCTTGAGACCAACGTGATGTATGCTAGAGAATTTCTGGAGTTCCTCTTAGCGATGGGCTTGGGCCGGTAGCTTGGCCGCTCCAAATCACTCGCCTTTGGGATGTTGTTAGCCTTGTCGAAATTGATGTCGTTCATAGTCTCCGCAATGGGCTGACAAGAACCCATCAGACAGGCATCGCCAGGAAAATCTCCGTCAAATATGCACCGGAAGTTTTCTTTCAACCCCTGTCGCCCAATCGGAGAATTGAGGCATCAATATGAACTGGATCCATATGTTGGAAAATGGAGCGCTGATGATTAGCAATCACTGGGTCCGCCGTTCTCTCCACCGCGTGGCTCTCTCGCAACCCAGAGGGACACTGCCGGTCATGATTGTTGCATGGCGACACTCGACTGAAGAGGAGGAATTGAGTGTCTCATTGGATTGAGGTCTCGAGGTTGCCGTGTGCCCTGAGCTCCGCTTCTTATTTCGCCGCTTGGCAATCCATCGGCCTGCCATCGAGCATCCAGGGGTTGTCATGCTCGAGGGAGCAAAAGCAAGCTCTAGACCGAATGCAAGGAACCAGATCTTGCTGCTATAGAGGAAATGGCGTGACTTCGAGCCAGATGATCCCAAGATCCATGCTGACTCTAGATCGAGCTTTTCAACGTCTTTGAACCGGTGGCCCGCCACTGACGATCCACTTCTTATGACAGATCAATATCGAGATTGTGTGGGCAGAACTCGGTGCATTGCTAGCTTCCACTGTATAAGTTGACAAACGTAGCCGTCTTAATTCACGAAAACCGCCCACTCATTGTTTCTGGCGGTTCCTTTTGCGATGGCACTGAATAGTGCTTCTCTTTGATGTGTTTCGCAAGCCTCGAGATTCCTTCCATGGCACCAACACGATGACGTGTGCGATGAGGGCAGTAAGCCGTGCATCAGAAGGCGGACTTAAGCAGCGTTAGTTAGTAGGCGAATCTACTGCCCGTCATGAAATGCTAGAGGGCGTGTGCGTAGCTTCGCATGAGTCCTCTCACACACCTCGGCGGCATCATCGGCAAAAGGTAAGCGGCGGGTGCAAATCCTGAGGGGCCAAAAGTGTGGGCGTTTCCTTGGAAGGAAAAGTCTTCTGGTCGGGTACTTCCATGGCAGTCGCTGATGTTCCGTCCGCCCCTGACGCGATACACCACTCCTGGTGGGCTACCAGTATACTACGCCTGATATTATGGCTATAATGTGGTCTCTTAAGGGGCGGCAAGCAAGCGAACGTGGCAAATGAAGTAGACCACCTCGAGTGCAACTGCACACCAAACCATACTAACAGGCTCAGGGATTGCCTTGTAAAAGGGCACACGAGTCACCTTTGCAGGAGACTGGGCCACGTTGGCATACCGCGAGTATAGCCAGTGGCTTCTCGAAGAGCGTGGTTGCCGGACGAATGAGGTCGCCCGCCGATGTTCGGTACCTTTGGACGGAGTTTTCGAAACAAGGTTGCCCCGTAGCTTCTACGACATGATCATGCTGGATCTCTGCCGTTGATTCCATTTGATTCAGTAGGCAGTTGGACTGTATGCCGGTGTCGTCTAGTTTGCGAGCAGTCGAGTGACTGAACGAAGTGCACGAGCATCAAGAGGGTTGTACCCTGGACGGTTAATATTTCCAGTATCATCGCGGTCGATCCCGTAAAGTGTTGGACTAAGATCGACGGCATTCTGGGGAATGCAAGCGTGCCATCGCGTCTTGCTCAGCGACTCGTCAGTGTTCTGCTGTATTGTGACCTGGGCCAAGCCATGAAGCGGTGTGAATCCTGGATTCAGGCACTGGCAAGTCTACCTTAATGGTCGTCTCCAAAATTGGTGAAGTGCTTGCCGAGAGACTCTTCGTCCAACACCGTGCCATTTTCCACAAGACGGACGAGATTCTTGTGATGGACAACGCTAATCCCACACTCGAGATAGGCAGCCATCTCAACTAGCCATCCGTTGAACTCGTTGACTTCCGTTGGTTTCCCAGCACGAACGTCTTGGAGCATAGAGCTCGTATTTTCTCGGACCTTGTATCCAACACTGTAAAGCATCTCCTTGAGCTTGTTGTAGGAAAAGCGGTCCAGGAGATCGCCACGTTGAGGACCGCACTTGCGGATCATCTCGTTCTCCGCTGCCACTGGCATTCCAGGGACTGTTTGTAGAATAGATTCGGTGCTTCGGTCCTTGATCAGGGCTTGAAGAACATTGCTGGCTTCCATCAACAGAGAATTGATGATGCTCGCAAGGGGGCCTTCCTGTTTCGTGAACAGATCGCCATTTTTGCAGCGAAGGATGGCGGTTAGTGGGTTGATGACAGAGTTGACCACGAGTTTCTCCAGCTGCAGTACCCATAGCTCGTTGCGTGCTACGATATGGCCGTTTAGGTGAGGTGATTCGGCGAGTATATTCGACAGGTAAGCGCCGTTGTTGCCAGAATTATTTGGAAAAACAAGCCCAACCTTGAGGTCTGCCTTGGAGGCATGTAGACTCCTGAACTGGCCCAACGAAGATACTCCGTGGGTTGTTACACAAGCCAGCCAGTTGGGATGAGGAGCAGAAGCATCTGCATACCGCGATGCCATGTAGGAGTCGCCGTGAGGTGGCCAAAGTTTGCACATGCCGTTTTGAGCGAAAGCAACCGTGGAACGGTCATTGAGATAGCGACGTGCTCGATCGACCTGCGGAAGAGCTTGGGATGCCTTGGTCGTTACAATCAGGTTGGAAATCTCTTGTCCATCCGCAACCTCTCTTGTTGGACCTAAGATCGGTTCTTCTTCGGACCATAGCTCAACATCGAAATCCAAATACTTTTGCGTAGAGTCTCCCCGAGTGATCTCGATACCTGGTTGTTGTCCCCATAACAGCAGAAGCTCTTTGCGGTGAAAGACGAGAGTTATCGGTGGTGGATTAGGTAGAGACGCAAGCGAGCTGGCAAAGAGAATTCCTAAATTTCCAACGCCAAGAACGTAGATACGCTGTTGGCGGTTGCGATGTTGTTGATGAGATATTGATCCTTCTAACCGACTGGCCGAGGGGCTCGAGACTGAGTTATTTTGTTCCAAGTTGAACAGGCTCCAAGCATAGAGCTTGGGTGCGCTCTTCTGAGGCAAATGATCGAGGTAGGGTTGTAGCCAGACGGGGGCCATCTTGGGAGCGCTCCGTAGGGTCGACGAGGGACGGTGCATGGACCGAAGGCCGTGGCCGACCGTTGAGAGAATGCCAGGTGAAGGGCGTTTAATCATGGCTCTGTTCAGAGAAAAACTAATATCATAGCTGGGCGTAGTTGTATACGAAGTTTTCTTTCTGATAGACGTAGTAGGCTTGGATGTGAGGTAGTTGAATCCCAGCAATGACAAGATGAGTACGAAGTACAGAGGTGCGCACGGAGTACCCTTGTGAGAGCTCCTTCTTTGCACCAGAACGCCGCATTAGTCAGGTGTGGCTGCCCCTCCGATTCTCATTGTGGCTAGGAAAGAGCCTCCAGCCAGCAAGTGCTTATCTAATATAAATGGGAATGGAAGTCTGGAACTGACAAATCCTACCAATCAAATTCGTCACCAAGTTTTCCCATTTAGATCCCTGTCCAGAGCAGCTGACTGCGCGAACCGTTCGCTCCTGCCTTGCCGTGGCGTCATCGTTTTCCAGAGCAGATCGCTGGTGAACGCTTAAGCCTGACGCGCTGCTGCCTGTCCTGAATCTTTGCCTTACAATCTCACTGGAGTGAGTCACCTCTACAACACATACGATTATCCTCACGACGGCCTCTCGGAATCCAGATCTTGCGTGTCGCTCACTTAGCTTGGTACCTACAGGCATGTCCTCCACCTGAGCTCATATCCATTCTCAACTTCATTCAAGTTCCCATTTTTCAACCACCAGCACGGCTGTTTGTCCGTTGCTCAAATCGCTCATCAAAACCAGCGACATCGAAGCTCATATCTTGGGGCTCGCAATCTGGAACCTCGGGCATGGATTTATGAAAATTCTCCGTCATCGGATCTCAAGATGTCGTCCGACAAAGAAGATGGCGGCCTAGTTGCCGAGAAAACGAGTGAGGAAAGCGCACCCTCTAGCACTGAAGCAGATGCACCCAGAACCACAGCAGTTCAGTTTGAGGGAGACGAGGCGGCATTTTTGCGAACTATCACAGCCGATATCCGGGACCAAGATGATTTAGAGCGCGATATCACAACACAGGCCAACGCCGCCTTGATTGAGGCAGAAGATAAGAAGGATAAGCAGCGCATTGAAAAACTGGAAACCACCAAAGATAAACTCGAGGCAAAAAGAGTAGATCAACGAAAGAAGCTAGAAGGAGCTCGACGGAACCCTTATCAGTCACGGATCATACAGAAGGAGCTCGATAAGCTGGACTTAGAGATTGAGAATGCCATCAACGACATCTCGGACTGCCAAGCTCGCATCGACAAGAGACAGGAAGAGATTGCGATTGTGGAGGATCCTGTCAAGAGCAAGTCTAAACGCTTGGCTGGCGAGTCGCACCGAGAATACCTCGTCCGGACCGGAAAGATCACGCCTTTTGCCAACATTGGTGGCGAACGACCTGATGGTTTCGAAGGCGAGCTAGCAGATGTTCTTGTCGAGGCTGAGCAAGACGCGGCTGCGGAGGAATACCAGAGCGACGATGAAGAGCCAAAGTCTCATCAAGTACTGCGCATGCCAGGCTTTGCTGAACATCCACAAACAGCTCCGGCATCCGTGGAGACCGAGTTTTCTCTACGACCGAGGAAAAAACGCAAGGTAGATGAGGGAGCATCGTCCGATGAATTTGATGCGTCGACTGCCAGTTCGGCTGAAAGCCAGTACGCTTCGGACACTAGTGAGGAAGAAGCCACAGGTCGTAAGCGGAAGAAGGGCACAAATACGGATAAGAAGAACAAGCGTAAGAAGGCTGCGGAGAATACAGTCACCGTTGGCAATACAAAGGTCGACCTGAGCAGCGTCGACGATGGAAATGAGGCGATCTACCAAGCACGCCTTGCTGATTGGGTCAGGAGGCGGAGTGCAGCTCGTCAACAGCAAAGTGGCAATGCTGATGGCGACGCCTCAATTGAAGATAATGGCGAAGAGGAATGGTTCAAACCTTCGCCTGATCAGCCTGACCACGAATTCGGTAACGGGCTGAGGCTCCCGGGAGACATTCATGCGTCGCTGTTCGCGTATCAAAAGACCGGCGTTCATTGGCTTGCTGAGCTTTATGAGCAAGGCGTAGGTGGCATCATTGGGGACGAGATGGGCCTTGGAAAGACAGGTAAGAAGTTATGGTAACAGAAGAACGCAATCTTACTGATACGCTTAACAGTGCAAGCAATTGCTTTCGTTGCGGCGTTGCACTACACCAAGAAGCTCGACAAGCCCGTCATAGTAGTCGTTCCCGCGACTGTCATGCAGCAGTGGGTCAATGAATTCCACCGATGGTGGCCCCCTTTGAGAGTGTCAATCCTACACTCGTCTGGTAGCGGCATGGTCAATGTGGCTGAGGATGATGACGATGAAGATTATCCTGGAGATAGGACGAATCGTGACGCCGCAGAGCGTATCGTCAGGCGCGTTGCCAAGCATGGACACGTTCTGGTCACCACGTACGCTGGCTTGAACACCTATGGCGAGCAACTACTGTCCCTGGAATGGGGCTACGCCATCCTCGACGAGGGCCACAGGATTCGCACCCCTAATGCAAATGTCACATATCAAGCCAAGTGTCTCAACACACCACACCGCCTGATCCTGTCGGGTACGCCAATCCAGAATAACCTCACCGAGCTGTGGTCGTTATTCGATTTCATTTTCCCTATGCGGCTAGGGACTCTGGTCAACTTCAGGCAGCAATTTGAGATTCCTATCAAGATGGGCGGGCACGCGAATGCGACTAATCTTGCGGTCATGACTGCTGAAAAATGCGCGACGACTTTGAAGGAAACCATTAGCCAATACCTGCTTCAGCGGCTCAAGGTCGACGTAGCATCAGACCTGCCGGAAAAGACGGAACAGGTGCTGTTCTGCAAGCTAACACCGGAACAAAATGAGGAGTACGTCAGGTTCATTCATTCGGATGCGGTCTCCCAAATTATGGCCAAAAAGCGTCAATCACTCTACGGAATCGATATCCTGCGGAAGATCTGCAACCATCCGGATCTCGTGAGTGTGAACAGAAAGAACCAACCAGGATACGATTGGGGAAGCCCCAGAAGATCTGGCAAGTTGCAAATGGTCGGCGACCTTCTTCCAATGTGGAAGAAATTTGGGCACAAAACGCTACTATTCTCCCAAACCAAGATCATGCTCAACATCATCCAGGACTATATCGGCAAGATGGAGGGAATGAACTACCTACGCATGGATGGAGACGTTACTATCGAGAAGAGACAAGTTCTGATCGACAAGTTCAATAACGATCCCTCCATTGACGTCTTCCTGTTGACGACTAAAGTGGGCGGCTTAGGTGTGAACCTCACCGGAGCGACCAGGATCATCATCTATGACCCAGACTGGAATCCGTCAACTGACTTGCAAGCGCGAGAGAGAGCCTGGCGACTCGGCCAGACAAAGCCAGTCGCCATTTACCGGCTAATGACGTCGGGTACTATCGAGGAGAAGATTTACCACCGCCAGATCTTCAAGCAATTTATGACGAACAAGGTCCTCAAAGACCCGAAGCAGCGGGCCAACTTCGATCTTTCTGACCTTTATGACCTATTCAGCTTTGGCGACAATAGCCATAGTATGGCCAGCGCCAACAGAAGCAAGGTCTTTGAGGGTGCGGAAGTCAAGTTCAACCAGTCAGAGGGCCACAATCAGCTGGAGAAGCCGTCCAAGAACGCCGTTCCCATCTCCTCGGTCAAGGCAGAAGACGAGGTCGACACGGTCCGCAAGCTTTCCGGCGTCGCTGCAATGGAAGAGTTCACGGAGCCTACAGATGACAGCGAGGAGAAGCGCATTACCGAGAATCTGTTTTCTCGAACTGTGGATAGCGCCTACGAGCATGACCAAATCATGAATGGTAAGAAGAAGGTACAGGCTGACCAGGCCATGAATCGGCACGAGGCGAACAAGATAGCGGCCCAGGCTGCCGCCCATCTGCGACGAGCTGGAGAGGTTGCGCGCCGTATTCCCATCGGAACTGTCACCTGGACTGGCGAGATAGGCGAGGGAGGCCGACCTACTGCACCGCGACGCCGCGGAATGAATTCTTCGGCGGTCATGTCTTCCCTTGCGGATCGTCAGGGGCTCAGCCAGCCGGCCGGCGGCTCCAGTTCACGGGGCAACACTCCGGGTACGGACAAGCCCTTGAAGGAGAAGGATTTCATACCCCTGATCCAGACTTTCATGAGACGTCAAGGAGGCAAGGCAGTGACTAAGATGCTGGTTGATCACTTCAATCCGTATTGCAAGACTCCAAAGCAGACGGACGACTTCAAAAGTGCGTTGGACAGGGTAGCCGTCCTGGGGAAGACGGGTGGCACGGGTAGGGGTACTTGGACGCTAAAGCCTGCTTTCAAGTAGTGGCTGAACAGTCTCGATTCCCCTTGGGCGACTTGAGGGCAATCCCGTCAATACTGAATCAAGAGAATGGCGTTCCGGGCAGGCGTGGTTGCTTTCAGGCTTATACGCGGCATAGATCCGCGAAGACACATCGAAAAGACATCTCAGAGTTAAGAACAATGAAGCAGTAATGTAGGTTACTTGGTGGATCACACATCACGTCACAGCATCGCATTATGTGCACAACTTTGTCGAGGGTTCAGGAGCTACTCTTCAGTTCAGGCCATATATGGCGAGTTTCTATTCTGTCTACGATAGATACTGTCGCCCGCAGCAGAAGGCATGTCACAGTGCGTAGAGGTAGAGTGGGGACCAGGCTAAGGCGCCGTTCCCCGCGTTTTTCGCGATGCCACCAAGAAACCAAATAATGAGCGCTCCTGTCCCACGGAAGCCACCCAGGTAATGATGTAAAACCGGGCGCTCAGAGACGACGACCGCGGCGACCACCCTTTCTGCGGGTAGAGTCGGAGGGCGTGGGGGTGACGTCCTCAATGCGGCCGATCTTCATGCCGGAACGAGCCAGGGCACGGAGAGCAGACTGGGCACCGGGGCCGGGGGTCTTGGTGCCGTTACCTAAAGATTTGAATCAGCGCGACGGCTCGTGAGGGACTATTGAAGGAGTCTAGAACTTACCACCGGTGGCACGGATCTTGATGTGGAGGGCAGTGATGCCAAGCTCCTTGCAGCGGGTAGCGACGTCCTGGGCAGCCAACATGGCGGCGTAGGGGGAGGACTCGTCACGGTCGGCCTTGACCTTCATACCACCAGTGACACGGCAGATGGTCTCACGGCCGCTGGAATCACCCAGTTAGCCATCTTGCACCATCACGGGTATTGATATAGTCTTCATGTTCGCCAAGGAGGGAGGGGTATTCCGGAACTCGGAGGCTGAACAGTGAATGGTGAGACCTACGAAAGATCGGTGACGTGGACGAAGGTATCGTTGAAGGAGGCGAAGATACGGGCAACGCCGAAGACGAGCTCGCCTGGAGATCGCGGGGTAGTCAGCAAAATTGCTTCATTTTATCATTTTGCGGTCGGCGCATGGAGTTTCAACGCGCGACGTAACAATCGATTGGGACGCAGGCAAGAACTCACCCTCGCGGACCTGGGGACCCAAGGAGATGTTCTCCTGGGCGGGACGGACGGTCTTGGACTTGGGAGGCATCGTGACTGCTGTGTTTGGCGAATTGTCTTTCGGTGGTGGTTAGTCGGAGTGGTTGGCAAAGGGAAGCTCTCTCGATCCGTCGCTCGCAATAATCCCAAACGAAATTTCACAAAGCCCAGCCCTGCACACACGAACAAAAAAAGTGGACGAGAATGCCCTGACGGGGGTCGGGCGGTTGGCGGCGGCAGAACGACCCAGATTGGCTTAGCCTTTTGAGAAACCCTACCTAAGCGAGAAAAATTGAGGGCGGTGAGAATTTCAATTTGCTGGTGGTGGCCCATGCACCAGCCCCAGCGGAGCCCGCGAAATTTTGGGTAAAACTTCTGCGATCCCGCCGCCTTTTTCCTTTTCCCTCCTTCTTCTGATCCAGCGACCAATTTTCGACGACAACCGCCGACGACAACCAAACCCGCCTTCACAATGGCCGCCACCACGTATGTACACCAAAGCTCTTGAGCAGCAGCGGCAGCATTTCCCCCTCCGTTCCGTTTGCGATGTCTTGCAGATTGTCGTGGTCCTCTCGCTGGAGTCCTTGCTTCACCTCGTCGTGAATGCCTGGCTCTCAGCTCGAACCCTCCTGGGCAACCTCCCTCCTTCCTTCATGACCTGGAATATGGCTTGCGGATTGAGAGACGGTGCTCGGGGTGTTGGGGATGAACGGTAACTCGTTCTCCCTCAAAAACATTGCCGCTTGTTGGATTCTCCTAGCAGCGCTGAAAGGCTTGCTCGGCGACCCGTACGCATGCGCGCATATACTCTTGAACACTTTGCTGTGCTTCGAGGTGTTGTCGGATGAGCACAGTGCCACAGTAATTACTCCCTTGGAGTTACTGCTACTACCTGGTCTGCTCACCGATCAAAGTCATGAACTTCGAGTTAGCCACAGCGAGAATGTCGCGCTCCAGCTACAATTCTCGCACCGGCGCTCTACCCATGCTGCTTGCAGTATGTCGGACTGCGTACTAATCTGATTTGCAACAGTTCCGTCCCCACCTCCAACCAGGTTCTGGTTCCGGAGACCCTCCTCAAGAAGCGCAAGTCTCAGGAGAAGGCTCGCGCTGAGCGCAACTCGGCCACCGAGAAGCGCAAGGCTGTAAGTATACCTCTACTCCCACTATCTACCCCTTCCCCCGTCTCATGATGCATAACATACCTTTCACAACTAGACTACGGTCGATGCAGTTGGAATTAACCTTCTTTCGGGTCTGACACTTGCCGGATCATTCACATCGTCAATGCATATCTGATCCAAGAAACACATTGCTAACATGTTTCCTAAAGGCCAACAAGGAGAAGCGTGGTGTCATCTTCAAGCGTGCTGAGAAGTACGTCAAGGAGTACCGCGACGCAGAGCGCGAGAAGGTCCGCCTCTCCCGCGTTGCCCGCGAGAACGACTCCGCCTACGTTCCCGCTGAGGCCAACCTGATCTTCCTTATCCGCATCAAGGGTATCAACAAGATCGCCCCTAAGCCCCGCAAGATCCTCCAGCTTCTCCGTCTCCTCCAGATCAACAACGGAGTCTTCATCAAGATCACCAAGGCCACCACCGAGATGATCAAGATCATCGAGCCGTGGGTTGCCTACGGTTACCCCAACCTCAAGTCCGTCAAGGAGCTCGTCTACAAGCGCGGTTACGGAAAGGTCAACAAGCAGCGTGTTGCCCTCACCGACAACTCCATCATCGAGGAGAACCTCGGCAAGTACGGCATCGTCTGCATGGAGGACCTCATCCACGAGATCTACACCGTCGGCCCCAACTTCAAGCAGGCCTCCAACTTCCTCTGGCCCTTCAAGCTCTCCAACCCCACTGGTGGCTTCCGCCCCCGCAAGTTCAAGCACTTCATCGAGGGTGGTGACCTTGGCAACCGCGAGGAGAAGATCAACGCCCTCATCCGCCAGATGAACTAAACTGGTCGTTTGTACGGCTTCATGATCAACAAAAATGGGGATTTGGCAGGGTTTGTCTAGTTACTCGGGACTTCGGCAGGTTTGAGAATACCAAGGGTTTATTACATGATTGGCACGGTTGCACGGCGTTGATAACCACAAAAGGGAATTTGTGAATTGATCATTTGACGACCACTGGATTCTCCATCCTCCTTGTTCAATGGGTAGCAATGCAAGCCTCTTTAGAGAGTTGTATGTGTGTACTGTGCATGTGTGACTGTCTTGATGTATCGTGGTATTCCATGTCTTGATCCAAGAGGGGTGTTTGTACGCATTACATTAATATTGTACAAGTGGGTGCGCAACAACCACTATGCTCGTCCCCCGTTGAGCCAGGTTGAGTCATTCTCAGATCTTGATGTCGAAGCTAGTTCCACATCCACAGCTGCTTGACGCATACGGGTTGTCCGTGATCTTGAACTGGGACCCAATAAGCTCCATCGTAAAGTCCACTTTGCTTCCCTTCAGCAAATCCAGCGACGGCTCGTCAATCACCACCTTTGGTCCCTCAAAGGTTACGCTTGAAGGGTCGGCATCTTCTGGCAGGTATTGAAACACGGTATCGTCCTCCCCAACGACCTTGGACCAGTCCTCTGCGCTCTCGCACTCGGGCAGGGTAACTAGGCTCATGAGATACTGGAAGCCATGACAGCCTCCGCTCTCGACTTGTATCCTCAGGGCTAGGTTCGGGTTGTTGTCCTTCTTCATGATAGTTGCTAGACGCTATAAACGCAAAGAGAAGCTGTTAGGTTTCGGAACCTCCCTTGTTCGATGCTCGGGTACACGTAAGCTACACGTACCTTGCCTGCTCTATCTGTGATATCGAGCTTCATCTCTTGCCCTTCCTCGTCTGTCTTCGGGTTCCAGGCGCATTTCGTCTGCCTCCTCGTCGCGGAGGCCGTGAAGGCGCGGGTCTGCTGTCGCATCGTCCTCCCAGCAAAGCGCTGCGGCATCATCCTCCTAGAAACACTCTGGGTGCAGCATTGTCGGGTTGTGCCGAAGCCGGCCTTGCTCGTGGTGGCCGTGGTCGTGCCGGACTCCCATCTCGGGACAAGTACCGAGAGGATCGTTGCCGGGGAGTTCAACGTCGATGTTGTACGGCGCGCAAGCTGCACGAAGATATTTGCGCTCGAGGGGCTATGGATACACCGGAGAGAGGCCATTTTGAGCTGCCTTGTAGCGATGCTGAGGTCGTTTAGTTGAACGGGGGGCGGCAGTTGGAGAAAATTGAGGATGCTAATGTTCGGCAATAAGGTATAGCTTATGATGTAAAAGGTGGTGGGCGGTAGGTGGCGGCAGTTGATTGTTTGCCGCATTAGTCAGCCCGGGGGGGCTTGATGGTTTTTGTCCAATGGTAGTAGACGGATTTCAACTCCTCGACCATAATTTTCAGTGACGCTTCATTATTGCTCTCCTTGGACCAATTGCATATCGTCGGAGAAGGATTTCGTCAGTTGCGTTAATAAGAAGGGCTTCTGGCCAGTTAATTGTCTTTGCAGATGAGCCTTTGGGTGTGGCGTTCAAGCTCGGTTCGGTCATCGCTGTTGTCGGAGCCGGCCCCTCGGGGCTGTGGAGACCATCGGAGGCTACAGCTACAATCGCCGAGGTTTCGGGGCGGCCCCGGGATTTTGAGATTAGAACTCAGGAAGCAGGTCTCTATCGTTTGACAGACCCCAAGTTCTTGTAAAAGGAGTGATTGTTTTTACTCGACACGTTGTGCAATTTGCGCCTTTGAATAGCCATATCACTCGATGCTGAACAAGCTTGACGTGATAAGTTTGCCTTACATTGCGTAATGAATATAATGCCCTCTATTGATAGGGTTCAATTTGCGTTGTTCCTTACAGTACTCGATATTTGCCCTAACCATGTACTACCTACTTACGTAGCAGGTTATTTCATCCGTTGGCGGATTCGATGCAAGCGATTCACTTACTGGCGACTTGCAATCGGGTAGTCGAGACGTCAATGACACAAAGCTATGGCAAGAGGCACCAATAATCCTGAACAAGTCTGGCACCACAATCCTCGATTCTCACAAGAGACGTCAGGACCGCCCTTTCCGTTCTGCCCCTTCTTACTACAAACATCTGCGCATAGCTTCTGATTGCGGGTTGCACCTTCTGGTCTGAGTTATTCGATCCAAGGAGAAGGGGTCCCCGACTATTTTCTATGCATTTGAGAAATGTGGACGGTGCATCGTCCAAATGATTCTTCGACTTCAACCACACGACCACCCCTAATACCTTTTCTCAATAATAACTTAGACTTTACCTAAAGATACCTACTGATTACTTCCATTCTCAATGTCATCCGTGATTCAGAAACTCGGCCTTGCCGACAATTTCAAGCCAACGCGACACAGAGCGGCAAGACCCCATTTTGGTCGAGGCGGAATCCAAGTCCCAAATCCCGGAGGCACGGCAGACATGTCGAGCTTCATGAAACAAGCGAGAGACGTCGCCGCTGGCAAGGGTCTGCAGATCGACCATACAGTTTCTCCTGAACAGCCGCCACACGCGCCTCAGGCTACACCCCTAGAAATCCTCTGTCTCGCCATTGCCATCTTTGTTCTCGCGTGTATCCTAGGTTTCATTGTCCTGATTGGCATCAAAACTAGGCGCTCCCGCGCACAACATGAGGCCAATAGCTTCCCGGAAAGCAACGATCGGGCGAGATGGGATTCACACGACACAACACAGGTTTTCATCAACGGCGTCCAGCGACGGAGCGACTCGGTGGCAGGACAGGAGAGAAACGAGCTGCGTCTCCTCGAGAGGGACGATACGGCATCCCTTGCACCAAAGCACATCTTCAGGCCTTGGAGAGACCCCGCTGATGAGCGTAACGGCGGGATCGGAAAGTTCGACGGCACATCGACAGGGCTTTCCAACGATACATCCCGGGAATTGGAACAGCACTCCACGGCCGACATTCAAGGGTTGATTCGTTCGAACGATGAATGCTTACCCGCAAATTGTGGCCGTAGACCATCGAGGCGCTTCGACGAGCAGGGTGTGAACGGGGGTTCAGGACCAACGACCCATCCGTAGCAGCTGGGCGGTAACACGCAAAGCAAGGCAGGACAGGACAGTCAAGAATGACAGACAAATAAAAAAGACTCTATTCCCTCGCTCGTCCCCGCCCTAACCTAGTATACCGGCTCCTCAGGGTGATCGCACAAGGGCCCGCCGGCTGTTGGCTCCCTAGCGAGCTTCACGTGCGTGTTGCGTAGTATGTTTGTACAGCTGTATTCCGATCCGGATCGCGTCGTCTATCGATTCGACAGTCGTGGCATCTTATGCCTGCTTCCTGATCTCTCTGGCGGCCTGCTTCAGGCTGGAGTTGCACTCCTCGTATGCGCGTCCGGCTCCGAAACCGACGCCGACGAAGGCGGGCCACGCTCTGCGCTTGAAAAGGAGGACTGAGAAGACGACGCCGAAGCCAAGACCGAGGGTAGACTTGACGAGGAGGTTGGACAGGCAGTGGTCCCACTAGAATATGGTCAGGGATCTCGGGTTATCGACGTTGGTAACGGCTTGGGGGAGCTACCTTCTCGTTGAGAAGTGCCTCACTGACGGGGCGCGCGACGGCGCTCGGGGGAGGGGGAACGGAGGTGTCTGACATGGTCGTCGATACCCTGAGGAGCTGGTCGTCAGCGTCAATGGATCAAACGAATAGCTGGGGAGCGGTGCTTACACAATTGACTCGATGCGCAATGGTGTTGTCGAGGTCGGAGCTTCAGCTATGGAATTGAACCAAGTGATGTTTTCGGAGAGAGCCGGCAAATTGATGATGAACACCCGAGGGCGGTAAGTCTCGGTGTGAGTGTCGGTGACCTCTTTGGCTTGGGTGGGGCGGCAGAATCCCGAAATTTTGGGAAAGCTCCAGCCAAAAATCGCGGGGAGTCGGTGCGACTTACACCTGAGCGCACTCAAAAGATCTGCACGTCTTTTGAAGTCCCTCGTGGTTGGTTGCCTATCATGGACGTGGAAATGACTGATGCAAGCCCAAGCAGGTCTTCTGAGACCATTGTAAGTTCTTCAGTCAGGTTTAACTCCATCCTTGTCTACTAACCGTTGTTGAAGACGTCGGACAGGGACTTGGTCAAGACAGTGCGATCTCTCGACCAGACGGGCCCTGGAGCCAATGGCGAAAACCTCGACCGAGTATGGAAGCAGCTCACATCTGCCAGCCAGGGGCCCTTCTCTGCCGCTGAGGAGAGCGTCCTCCGGTGGCTTCTCAAAGTCATGAAAGCGAACAACGACGAAGCCGACACAATCCGACGATTTCCCTTGACATGGCGCATTCTCGATTGCGCATTCCAAAGAATCCCTCTCTTTTCACTCGCAAAGTCCCTCGCCGACCGAAAGTTCATGGCGGTTCTTCAACAAACTCTCAAGAGCGTCGCGAAGCCGAGCACCGAAGCCCAGGCCTCTGGTTCTACATCGAAGAAGAGGAAGAGGAACAATGCCGCAGTCTTTGAGCTGAAGGCGCTGCAGTCTTTCGAGGGCTGTCTAGGCACGGGGGAGGCTATCTTTGGCGCATTGAAGAACCTGCTTGAACGACTGGACCCGGGGGCGCAATGGTCTGCCCACGACAGGATGGGAGCAGAACACATCAAGGCACTCTTCGCCCAGCCTGCGACCGAGGCGGTAGAGCTGCTCTCGCCCCTGCTTTCACTTTGCGATTTCTCTCTGGAAGCGTCAGATACCGAGCCATTTGAGGCGCAAGAGTCATGGGTGAAGGTGTTCTCATCCGCCTGGGACCTGCATCTCCAGGGGGGGACGGATGCACTCGAAGTCGCGACTCACCTCTCACGCGTATCCTTCTCTATTCTGGGCAAGACTAAGAACCAGTCGAGCAACAATGACCAAGTGGCCAAGATATGGACGCGCGATCTCGAGAAGTTCCTCCAACGCAACCTTGTTCTGCCGGCGAGGTCGGCATACCTCAACAAAACCGATCTCGAGGTCGTCATTCGCTGTTTTGCCATGATACAGAACATTGCCTTGACCTCAGTTCCAACTTTCTACAGCCTAGTGTCATCAGCCCCGAGAGTTGTTGGAGGACTCACAACAACAAAGGCTGAGGAGGCCTGGATGCAGGAAGTTTTCAAGATGTCTGAGCGTGCCATGAAGCAGTTGTCTGCTAGCGAAAAGTCGCATGCGATGGGAGGAATCCTCGACGAAGCAATCGCGAATAAATCTCGCATCGCTCGGAGTGACCTTCTGTCAGTCTGCGAGTCTTACGCGCTTCCTGATGATCAGAGCGAGACTGACTGGCGTCTCTTGTCGCTTGTTGCGAGATGTGACGCGGATGTCTTTTTGCAATCAGAAGAAGGCACACAACTCTTCGACCAAGTGTGCGACAGGATTACCGCAGTCGGCGCGGAGGCCGACGAGGGCATTATGCGGCAGCTGATGGAGTCGCTGATAACCGGCTTTGAAAATGCCCGCGATCTATCAACATTCCTGAAGACGTGGTTCAATCAACTCTCGAAGTTCGAAGACAAAAAGCTGCGCTCCGGAGATCGGCCAGTTTGGTTTTCTAGAGTGCACCGCAATCCGACGCTAATTGGAGGCATTCAGAAGTCCTTGACCACCAAGCAGTTGGTCAATCTGCTGCAATGGGTTGAGGAACAGCAGGAACTCCGTCCGGCTGCAGTCTTCATCTTCCTCAACACCCTCGCTTCTGCAGTCACCAAAGACGACTATGCCGATGCGGTTGGAAGCAAGCTTGCCGACATTGCGTTGAACGTCGGGTCGGCCAGCAAAACACCGTCGGACATTCGCTCGCTGCGTTGGAGAATCACCTCCAAGACTGTTTCCTGGCTAGACTATGACCAGGCCACCGCTCTCTGGGATAAGGTCCAGACAGATCTCACAAAGGCATTACAAAAAGCTAAATTTGACGACGAAGATACATGCGAGGCCCTGGAGTGCGCATATAATTTCTGGCTATCAATGTATCCCGATGGTCGCGACCAGACTGCTCTTTCTTCCTTGCTTACAACCTTCGTCGAGAGACTCTTGAAGAAGGTCAAGGTGGAAGACCTCCAGGGTCTCTTCAATTCTCGAGATCTCGCAGTTTCAGATACCTCTGATGTTCCCAAGTTTTGCGCAGAGTTTCCCCTTGCAGCTTCGAGACTCGTGGCTCTTCT